CGGAAGGCCGGAAGGATAGTAAGGGTCCGGATCTCCGTGGGGAGATCGTTCCATAGGGCCAGAGCAGCAACAGAGAAGGACTTCCCCCGGGGAGTCGCCAGCCAACATTGACCGGCAGATGGAATCCGGAGGAGGCCTAATCTGTGCGATCTTATAGGCCTCAGGGAAGTAATTGGCAGGAGACAGTCTCTCAAGTAGCCAGGTCCGATACCATGTAGGGCTTTAAAAGTAATGACTAGCACTTTGAAGTGTGTCCAGAGACTAAGCACTGGCACATCACTTCTACCACTTCACTGAGTTGGCACGGGGCGGACAGATACAGTTGCATATCGTCCGCGTATTGGTGGTATTTAATCCCTTGCCGTCGTATGATCTCACCCAGCAGCTTCATGTAGATGTTGAATAGGAGGGGGGACAGGACCGAACCCTGTGGCACCCCATAATTGAGGGGCCTAGGGGTTGATCTCTGCCCTCCGACCAACACCGACTGCATCAGGGTTGTGTTAGACCTTGGGGGGCCAGAGTTGGTGTGGCCAGGGTGGACATGGCCAGCTTAACATCACTCATGTTGGAGGTGCCTGGGGTGGCCTAGGTGGGGCTGGGGGGATCCATTGTCTCCAACAGAGGACGAAGAGACCAGGGAGAGTGCCAAACCCTTGTCCTCCAAAGAAGCTTTGCCGTCCCTCTCAGGCCAGGCTGAGGACTGCTGGACAGTGACACAAGCTGTCCCGAGCCCTAGACAGCAGAGGACAAGCAAGTTTGTTTTGCTAGCACTCTTGCCTGTGAAAACGGAGCTCAGAAGGAGCATTCCGTTTTCGGCTGCGATGGCCTCCTGCATCACTCTGTCAATGAAAACGGAGTTCGGGTGGGCCATGCACTCGCCTCCCAAGCTCCATTTGCAGCTGCAATGGCCTCCTGCAGCACTCTGCCAACAAAAATGGCCAGGGCATGGCACCACATGCCAGTCCTTTGCTAATTCCAGGGTGGCTTAGTGGACTAGATTGAAGTATTTTATGGGCCGAATTCAGCCCGCAGGTCGGATCCGTCCTCTGGGCCTTGAGTTTGACACTCCTGTTCTAGAGAAAAGGACTAGGGGGTGACATGTTATCAGTATTCCAGTATTTGAGGAGCTGCCACAAAGAAGAGGGGTGGGGGGTTCAATTAATTTTTCAAAGCAGCAGAGGGCAGGACAAGCTTGGTTCTCCAACCATTCATAATCATCACTTACCTCTGCCTCAGCCCAAGGTAGATAGTGCTCATAGAATTTATAGCAATGCTGTTTATAGGACATCCAGCCTTTGGGGCAATTGAACATAAATGCTGCAAAGAATGGAACAATGGAACAATTCAAGATGGATGGAAAACTTCCTGAAACATGTCAAGATCTTAGAGAACATCCACGCCTTGAGGGAAAAGAAAAGCAGTGAAGGGCAGCAGGAAGAGAATGCAAGGAAGGAGTTGGAAGGGTGGACAGACCAGACACGGAGAACAATGGCAACTATAGTCCAATATCCAATATCTACAGAGCTACCACAAAGAAGAGAGCGACTAGCCAAAACACCGGAAGGCAGAACAAGAAGCAGTGGATGGTAATTAATCAAGGAGAGAACCAACTTAGGGCTCTACATGGGGTTGCCCTTGAAGTGCATCCGGCAACTGCAGTTAGTCCAGAATGCAGCCGCGCGAGTGATAGTGG